CTAGGCCCCAGCTGGCCTAGAACTCACAGAGATCTGCCTGCCTCTACCTCCTAAGTGCTGGGAATAAAGGCATGCACCACCACACCCAGCACACCTCCTTGCTTTAAAACAAACATTGGCTTTCTAGTTTGATTTTTTCATAACTAAGTAAAATTGAGTTTGTGTATAAAAAATTGTATTTGGATAAATATTCCTAACAGTCTCTCCTAAAACTGTCTCTTCTACTTGAAAGAGCCAATTAGCTATAGATTCTACAGCTATCATGGATCATGCATGAACTGAGGACTTTAAGGATGGCTAGAGACAAGTTAGGATGGGCTTTCTTGTTCTGCATGGAATTATCCACACACAGAGTTTGTGGCCATGTGCAAACATCTATACATGGATGCGCATATATACACACACTTAGAGAAAGGTACATGAAAGGGAGCATGAGGCAGACTGAAAGGAGCTGGAGGGGGTTTGCCCTCCTGACCGGATGACTCTGAGCAAGATGCCCCCTGCCTATAATGTACTTGGCAGATCTACTGGTGAACACCAAGGGCAGGCACACAGCACACACAACATTGGACCACGGTAGGTATTGCATGGCAGCCATGAAAAGTAGCCATTGTTCTGCACATACACAAACCTCCAGACAACAGTACTCACTGTCCCATGACAATTATTTGACTACAATGTCATTGTTAACATCTCTAGGCAGAGACTGTGCCAAAAAACAAGTATAATAAAGTTAATGTGTATGTACATGGAAAACCCTCTGCAGCACTGTATGAAGAACTGTATACTCCCCAGTAGCCAAGGCAGAAGTGTTCCATGGTTAAATAAGTCTGAGAATATTGCATTCTTTGTTCCTTGGGAGATTTCTGTTGCAGCAGTGAATGAAAAACTGGCATTCAAGGGCTGGCAAGACGGCTCAGCAGGTAAGGGCAACTGCCAAGCTGATGGCCTGAGTCTGATCCTCAGGACCCACATGGTAGAAACAGAGAATAAATTCCCTACAAGCTGTCCTTCGACCTCCACAGATGAACCATAACAAGTGGGCTCATGTATACATGCACACAATTAAAAACACAAAACTGTCATTCAGAAATAGGCTTAAACATCTTTGTGTCTTTCCTTAGTCCAGTTTTCTCACTCACTTTTCTCAGGATAACACACACTACAATCTCCTCATAGAAAAGTCCAGGCACAGAAACATGGTTTAGGAAATACCTATCTGCATACTTT